TGTACATAGAGGTCGTCATAGTATAGTGTGTACATAGCCCCTGTTAGATAGGGTGGTACATAGTCATCTAGTAGTATAGTGTGGTACATAGAGTCAGTCTAGTAGTATAGTGTGGTACATTCAGTCTATATATAGTGGGGTTTACTAGAGTCAGCTGTATGTGTGGTACATAGTCATCTAGTAGTATAGTGTGGTACATCAGTCTAGTCTAGTAGTATAGTGTGGTACATAGTCAGTCTAGTAGTATAGTGTGGTACAAAAGTCGTCTAGTATTTAATAGGGGTGGTACATATCTAGTAGTATGTGTGGTACATAGTCGTCTAGTCTAGTAGTATAGTGTGGTACATAGTCAGTCTATAAGTTTGTTGTACATAGTCTAGTATATTGTGGTACATAGTCAGTCTAGTAGTATAGTGTGGTACTAGTCTAGTAGTATAGTGTGGTACATAGTCAGTCTAGTAGTAAGGTGGTACATAGTCGTCTAGTAGTAGTGTGGTACATAGTCTAGTAGTATATGGGGGTACATATCAGTCTAGTAGTATAGTGTGGTACTAGAGTCAGTCTATAGTATAGTGTGGTACTAGTCTATAGTATAGTTTTGGTACATAGTCTAGTATTATAGTGTGGTACATAGTCTAGTAGTATAGTGTGGTACTAGTCAGTCTATAGTATTTGGTACATAGCGTCTAATGTATAGTGTGGTACATAGTCAGTCTAGTAGTATAGTGTGGTACAAGTCATGTCTAGTAGTATAGTGTGGTACATAGTCTAGTAAGTATAGTTGGTACATAGCCCAGTCTATAGTTAGTGTGGTACATAGTCAGTCTAGTAGTATAGTGTGTACATAGGTCAGTCTAGTAGTATAGTGTGGTACATAGTCCTAGTAGTATAGTGTGGACATAGCGTCTAGTAGTATAGTGTGGGGTACATAGTCCGTCTAGTAGTATAGTGTGGTAAAAGTCGTCTAGTAGTATAGTGTGGTACATAGTCAGTCTAGTCTAGTTATAGTGTGGTACATTCAGTCTTAGTTTGGGTACTAGTCGCTAGTCTAGTGATGTGTGGTACATATTCAGTCTAGTAGTATAGTTGGTACATAGTCTAGTAGTATAGTGTGGGTTACATAGTCATCCTAGTAGTATAGTGGGGTTTACATAGAGTCAGTCTAGTAGTATAGGGGTGGTACATAGTCTAGTAGATAGTGGGGTACATATCCTATAGTATAGTGTGGTACTAGTCTAGTTAGTATAGTGTGGTACTAGTCAGTCTAGTAGTATAGTGTGGTACATAGTCAGTCTATTAGTATAGTGGGGGTACATATCAGCCCTAGTATTATAGTGTGGTACATAGTCATCTAGAGTATAAGGTGGTACATATTTCAGTCTAGTAGTATATGTGGTAAAATAGGTCAGCCCTAGTAGTATAGTGTGGTACATAGTCAGTCTAGTCTAGTAGTATAGTGTGGTACATAGTCAGTCTAGTAGTATAGTGTGGTACATAGTCTAGTAGTATAGTGTGGTACATAGTCAGTCTAGTAGTATAGTGTGGTACATAGTCTAGTAGTATAGTGTGGTACATAGTCAGTCTAGTAGTATAGTGTGGTACATAGTCAGTCTAGTAGTATAGTGTGGTACATAGTCAGTCTAGTAGTATAGTGTGGTACATAGTCTAGTAGTATAGTGTGGTACATAGTCAGTCTAGTAGTATAGTGTGGTACATAGAGTCAGTCTAGTAGTATAGTGTGGTACATAGTCAGTCTAGTAGTATAGTGTGGTACATAGTCAGTCTAGTAGTATAGTGTGGTACATAGAGTCAGTCTAGTAGTATAGTGTGGTACATAGAGTCAGTCTAGTAGTATAGTGTGGTACATAGTCAGTCTAGTCTAGTAGTATAGTGTGGTACATAGTCAGTCTAGTAGTATAGTGTGGTACATAGTCAGTCTAGTAGTATAGTGTGGTACATAGTCAGTCTAGTTTAGTAGTATAGTGTGGTACATAGAGTCAGTCTAGTCTAGTAGTGTAGTATAGTATGTAAAAAGGCCTTTCTAAATAAAATTTGATTGATTGATTGCCCCCGTGCTCAAAGCGAGGTCCATACAGAAATGGTTTGTCGAGATCGGTAATGTAAGAACTTGACTGGCTTACACAGAGCCCTGACCTCAACCCCATCGAACACCTTTGGGATGAATTGGAACGCCGACTGCGAGCCAGGCCTGATCGCCCAACATCAGCGCCCGACCTCACTAATGCTCTTGTATCTGAATGGAAGCAAGTCCCCTTAGCAATGTTCCAACATCTAGTGGAAAGCCTAGGGGGACCAACTCCATATATAACGTCCATGATTTTGGAATGAGATATTCGACGAGCAGGTGTCCACATACTTTTGGTCATGTAGTGTATAATAGCATCATATCACTATAAACCATACATGACAACACACACACGACCACACACACACGCCAGTACATGTTTAGAGAGTACAGTACTTACGAGTCGCCCTTTCACCTTTTTGGGAAGGTCTTCATCCAGAGTATAGACGTCCTCTCTCTTAGCTAACACCTGGGAACCATCCTCAAACTCCACCTGGGAAAGAACACACACACACGTTCCCTTATTCATTTTCATCAATTTATTCTGTTGATATTATATAATTCAGTTATATTAAATGAATCTATTTCTGTCCATAAATGTGATATAGGCCTACACGCTCTTCCTCATGGTTAGATAACATATTCTTTATTTAATATCTGACCACTACTTAATACTGTGTGAAATGTTACTATCAAAGCTATTAAACGTTATTAAACCTCCTGTCTATCCAGCTTCCTATCAAAGCTATTAAACCTCCTGTCTATCCATCTACCTATCAAAGTTATTAAACATTATTAAACCTCCTGTCTATCCATCTACCTATCAAAACTATTAAACATTATTAAACCTCCTGTCTATCCATCTACCTATCAAAGCTATTAAACCTCCTGTCTATCCATCTACCTATCAAAACTATTAAACATTATTAAACCTCCTGTCTATCCATCTACCTATCAAAACTATTAAACATTATTAAACCTCCTGTCTATCCATCTACCTATCAAAGCTATTAAACATTATTAAACCTCCTGTCTATCCATCTACCTATCAAAGCTATTAAACCTCCTGTCTATCCATCTACCTATCAAAGCTATTAAACCTCCTGTCTATCCATCTACCTATCAAAGCTATTAAACCTCCTGTCTATCCATCTACCTATCAAAGCTATTAAACATGATTAAACCTCCTGTCTATCCATCTACCTATCAAAGCTATTAAACCTCCTGTCTATCCATCTACCTATCAAAGCTATTAAACATTATTAAACCTCCTGTCTATCCATCTACCCATCAAAGCTATTAAACCTCCTGTCTATCCATCTACCCATCAAAGCTATTAAACATTATTAAACCTCCTGTCTATCCATCTACCCATCAAAGCTATTAAACCTCCTGTCTATCCATCTACCTATCAAAGCTATTAAACCTCCTGTCTATCCATCTACCTATCAAAGCTATTAAACCTCCTGTCTATCCATCTACCTATCAAAGCTATTAAACATTATTAAACCTCCTGTCTATCCATCTACCTATCAAAGCTATTAAACATTATTAAACCTCCTGTCTATCCATCTACCTATCAAAGCTATTAAACATTATTAAACCTCCTGTCTATCCATCTTCCTATCAAAGCTATTAAACATTATTAAACCTCCTGTCTATCCATCAAAGCTATTAAAGTGACCATTTCCCCATTATAAACCCTCCCATCTGGCGTCATTGAGCAGTACCTGCATCAGAGGCGGTTTAGGCGTACCTTAACCTACCTTTCTCCACCTTAACGTGTGGATCGAGTTATTTTTCCCCATTAACACTTTTCTAAACCATCGTCCATCTACAGTAACTGTCGTCACAGAGCAGCACCATGCGTCAGAGACAGTTGTGCAACATAACACACGTTCCCACGGAGACAGAACAAACTAAATAGAGACTTAAGTGGTTGCTCCACCATCTTGACTTGGTGAATATTTCAGCATGTTTAAATAATGCAGATTATCACAACCTCATTCTCCTCCTCATCGTCGCTCTACCTCTCACGCTCTCTCTCTTACCTCTCACGCTCTCTCTCTTTACCTCTCACGCTCTCTCTCTTTACCTCTCACGCTCTCTCTCTTTACCTCTCACGCTCTCTCTCTTTACCTCTCACGCGTGCTCTCTCTACCTCTCTCTCTACCTCTACCTCTCTCTCTCTCTACCTCTCTACCTCTCTACCTCTCTACCTCTCTCTCTACCTCTCTCTCTCGCTCTCTCTCCACCTCTCTCTCTACCTCTCTCTCTCTCTACCTCTCTCTCTCTCTCTCTCTACCTCTCTACCTCTCTACCTCTCTACCTCTCTACCTCTCTACCTCTACCTCTCCTCTCTCGCTCTCTCTCCACCTCTCTCTCTCTCTCCATCGCTCTCCATCTGCTTTCTCCATCCTCTCTTTACCAGTCTCTCCATGTATTTCTCTCCCTCCCTCCTCTCTCTCTCCATAGAACTTAGAGACTGGTTAAAGTCATTGAGTCCAGGGTATTACAGATGGCAAAGTTGAGTGAGTTCAGTTTACTGCAGTGTTTCCTGTCTTGGTCCTGGACCAACACCTGTATGTAACGGCTGCAGGCTTCAAAGGGCACTGAGTGAGTTTGTCACGAAAGGATGTTCAAGTCAAATAAGTGTGTGTGTGGTGTGTGTGTGTGTCCAGGATATGTGTGTGTGTCTGATGTGTGTGTGCCTGTGTCTCTGCTGTGTGTGTATGTGGTGTGCGTGAGTGAGTGTTTACCTGCGTATGTCTGTGGTGTGTGTGTGTGTGTGTGTGTGTGTGTGTGTGTGTGTGTGTGTGTGTTTACCTGGTACATATACGAGGTGTTGGATCCCAGGTATTTGGCTCCATAGAAGAGTCCATCAGGCCATTTCACCTGGACAGCCTCCCCTACTTCAGGAGGACCAAGACGGGCACAGTCCCTGCTCTGAGAGGACAGGAGAGAAGAGCTCAGTGGTGTGGGAGGAGGGACTCACCTCTATATCCTCTGGGTAGGGGTGTGTGTGTGTGTGTGTGTGTGTGTGTGTGTGTGTGTGTGTGTGTGTGTGTGTCCCTCCTCACCACTATGTCCTCTGGGTAGGGATGTGTGTGTGGTGTGTGTGTGTGTGTGTGTGTGTGTGTGTGTGTCCCTCCTCACCACTATGTCCTCTGGGTAGGGATGTGTGTGTGGTGTGTGTGTGTGTGTGTGTCCCTCCTCACCTCTATATCCTCTGGGTAGGGATGTGTGTGTGTGTGTGTGTGTGTGTGTGTGTGTGTCCCTCCTCACCACTATGTCCTCTGGGTAGGGATGTGTGTGTGTGTGTGTGTGTGTGTGTGTGTGTGTGTGTGTGTGTGTGTGTGTCCCTCCTCACCACTATATCCTCTGGGTAGGTGTCGTGTGGAAGGATCGTGAGTAGGGGGAATGACCTCATAGAAGGTCTGGGAGGTCACCTGGGTGACCTTTGAACTGTAGTACCTCAGGTTCTTGTGTTTGGAGATGACGGTCTGACCCAGTACGATGTCCTTCTGAAACGCTGCACGCTGCTGAGAGAGAGAGATGGAGGGATGGAGAGAGAGGGGGGGAGTAGGGAGGAGGGAGAGAGAGGGGGGGAGTAGGGAGGAGGGAGAGAGAGGGGGGGAGTAGGGAGAGAGAGGGGGGGAGTAGGGAGAGAGAGGGGGGGAGGAGGGAGGGAGAGGGGGGGAGTAGGGGGGAGGGAGAGAGAGGGGGGGAGTAGGGGGGAGGGAGAGAGAGATATCACTGTCTGGCTGAAGATAAAAGACCGGAGTGTGTCACCAGTAGAAAGTTCTACGGTAACCAAGCCTCAAAGTTCTACGGTAACCAAGCCTCAAAGTTCTACGGTAACCAAGCCTCAAAGTTCTACGGTAACCAAGCCTCCAAAGTTGATGTTAGGAAAAGACAAATAAAGTCAGTTTGTAAAGAAAATGGACCTGTTCAGAGGGGTTGAGATGGACGTGTAGTTGTCTTATGCAAGCGTGTGTGTGTATGTCTACTTGGTGTGTGTGTGTGTGTGTGTGTGTGTGTGTGTTACGTCCAGTGGGGGGAGGGAAAGAAGCGGAGCCGCTCTGAGTACTCACAGCAGACGAGCTCCGTGATTGATGCCTGTGGCAGGTGATTGACACCACGTAGGGCCAATCGTCCGGCTCCATGGTGACCCCGGCGGCGTGGGCACAGGTAACGTGGAAGGAGGTGGGACATCGCCCGCACGAACACTGGATACATGCCCCTCCCCCGCCCTGGCCACGCCTCACACACCGCTTACGGCAGTAGATGCACTTCTACACAGAGAGAGACACACGTTATAAAACCATGTACAGACATCCCCTCTCCCACCTGACTATAATCACCTCAGACTCTTCTCCAGAGAATCAACTCAACTGACTATAATCACCTCAGACTCTTCTCCAGAGAATCAACTCAACTGACTATAATCACCTCAGACTCTCCTCCAGAGAATCAACTCAACTGAATTCACTAAGCTAACGCATATGGAAATAAAACATGTTCATCTAAACTAAATGTCTCTATAGAGCAGGAGATGACCACACCCCGTTACAGATGTAACCCTATAGTTAGTTAACATAGAAGACTGTAAGCATCAGCCAACAGATTTCACTCTATAGTTAAGATGGAAGACAAAGCATCAGAATCAACTCAACTGATATAATAATAATAATAATAATAATAATAATAATAATAATAATAATAATAATATAATAATAATATGCCATTTAGCAGACGCTTTTATCCAAAGCGACTTACAGTCATGCGTGCATAATTTTTTTTTTTTTGTGTATGGGTGGTCCCGGGGATCGAACCCACTACCTTGGCGTCGTGCTCTACCAGCTGAGCTACAGAGGACCACGTGTATACCTAGCTAGTGTTTCTACACAGCTGGAGATCAACACATTCCATTACAGATTTAAACCCCATCATTAGCTTCCAGTAAGCATCATAGTGCTACATATGTAACCCTATAAATCATTAGCTTGAATAGCATCAGTGATTATTGCATCACATCACTACTGATGAACACTACCATAGCTACATATGCAGTGTTTCCCCTATATTCATTTAGCAGTGACGGGGCGAATTCACTCCAAAAAGCGAATCATTTTCTGGACGGTGAAACGTTTTCAGTGTCAACATAAACGTCTTAACCCTGATCTAAAGTATGTACAAAAGATACTGGATCGATAAGATCCTCTCTGAGAACTAACGACCACCAACATAAAAAAATAAATAGACAGTCGGGGACAATCTAAAATTCCCTAAATGTCATGGCATGGGGCCCCCATTGATTTTGTTATGTTTGAGTAACTCAGATAACATAAGCCATGGCAAAAAAGTGTGCAATTGCAGGAAATCGGCTTTAAAAACAGCACATTTTCTCTCAGCCCAATGGCAAAATGTGTAGAATTGCAGGAAATTGGCATTACAGCAACAACAAAAATAATAATAAATATATATATATATATATATATATATATATATAATGGCAAGAGGGTCTCTAAAATCTTTGGCTGGAGAACGCGCCAATGGCCACTACCACCCAGGAGGAAGCAGCAGAGATTATTGGGATGTGTGTAACCCCCCTCTCCCCTCCCCTCCCTGGCTGTTCTGTCCTCTCCTCTACTGGTATATCTCCTGAGTATATTGGGGCCCTGCCTGCAGCCTGAGTTGAGCCATGCATAAAGAACCTCCACACAGTAAATTATACATGGTGTTAGACTGCACTGCTGCGAGGACAACGGGTTTCTCTCTCTGTGTATAAATTATGAATGTGTAGGGTTGCGGGGGGGGGGATGGGTCCAACGCCAGCGAACTGAATGAGTGAACGAACGACTGCAGGGAGAGAGAGAGAGAGAGGTGATCAGCGCCACCCTCAGTCTCTCCCAACTCATCACTGAAAACACAACGGTGTCCTCAATCACTCACAGACGCAGACACATGCACACCCATTCTCTCTCGCACAGGAGTTCATGATCCAGTGTTGATTGGGGGCACATTGTTAATTACCACTGAACACTATTAAATTAGACTATTCCACTAGGCCCTGGGGATTCCTGTGTGTGTGTGTGTGTGTGTATGTGTGCTTGTGTGTGTGCGTGTGCGTGTGTGTGTATGTGTGAGTGTGTGTGTATGCGTGTGTGTGTGTGTGTGTGTGTGTGTGTGTGTGTGTGTGTGTGTGTGTCCTCACCAGTTTGTATCTCTGCATGGGTATCCTGCTGGTATCAATGGGACTCCTCCTGACTTCATCACTGAACCAGACCTCTGGCAGAGCTACTGCACACATCACATGGGCCCACCTACACACACACACACACACACACACACACACAGACACACACACACACACACAACACACACACGCACACGCACACGCACACGCACAACACACATACACATACACACACACAGACACACACACAACACACACACACACACACACACACACACACAGACACACACACACACACACACACACACACACACACACACACACAGACACACACACACACACACACACACAGACACTTTAAATATTTGATCCCAAAATCACATTACAGTCAAGGATTGAAATGTCAACGGTGACAGATAGAAAAAGTACCAAAAGTGTCTAAAAAAAGACAGTCCTTTACCGCATTAACGACACAAAGACAGTCCTTTACCACATTAACAACACAAAGACAGTCCTTTACCGCATTAACGACACAAAGACAGTCCTTTACCGCATTAACGACACAAAGACAGTCCTTTACCGCATTAACGACACAAAGACAGTTATTTACCGCATTAACGACACAAAGACAGTCCTTTACCACATTAACGAAACAAAGACAGTCCTTTACCGCATTAACGACACAAAGACAGTTCTTTACCGCGTTAACGACACAAAGACAGTCCTTTACTGCGTTAACGACACAAATACAGTACTTTACCGCATTAACGACACAAAGACAGTCCTTTACCGCATTAACGACACAAAGACAGTCCTTTACCGCATTAACGACACAAAGACGGTCCTTTACCGCATTAACGACACAAAGACGGTCCTTTACCGCATTAACGACACAAAGACGGTCCTTTACCGCATTAACGACACAAAGACAGTCCTTTACCGCATTAACGACACAAGACAGTCCTTTACCGCATTAACGACACAAAGACAGTCCTTTACCGCATTAACGACACAAAGACGGTCCTTTACCGCATCAACGACACAAAGACGGTCCTTTACTGCATTAACGACAAAGACGGTCCTTTACCGCATTAACGACACAAAGACAGTCCTTTACCGCATCAACGACACAAAGACAGTCCTTTACCACATTAACGACAAAGACGGTCCTTTACCACATTAACGACAAAGACAGTCCTTTACCGCATCAATGACACAAAGACAGTCCTTTAATGCATCAACGTCAAAGACAGTCCTTTACCGGATCAACGACACAAAGACAGTCCTTTACCGCATCAACGACACAAAGACAGTCCTTTACCGCATAACGACAAAGACAGTCCTTTACCGCATTAACGACAAAGACAGTCATTTACCGCATTAACGACACAAAGACAGTCCTTTACCGCATTAACGACACAAAGACAGTCCTTTACCGCATCAACGTCAAAGACAGTCCTTTACCGCATCAACGACACAAAGACAGTCCTTTACCACATTAACAACAAAGACAGTCCTTTACCGCATTAACGACAAAGACAGTCCTTTACCGCATTAACGACACAAAGACAGTCCTTTACCACATTAACAACAAAGACAGTCCTTTACCGCATCAACGACACAAAGACAGTCCTTTACCGCATTAACGACACAAAGACAGTCCTTTACCACATTAACAACAAAGACAGTCCTTTACCACATTAACAACAAAGACAGTCCTTTACCGCATCAACGACACAAAGACAGTCCTTTACCGCATCAACGACACAAAGACAGTCCTTTACCGCTTTAACAACACAAACACAGTCAGACCTTTACCGCATTAACGACACAAACACAGTCAGTACCTTTACCGCATTAACAACACAAAGACAAATCTACTGATCAACTAATGGGTCATTCATAATAACTAAATGGGTCATTCATGATAACTAAATGGTTCATTCATAATAACTGATGGGTAATTCATAATAACTGATGGGTCATTCATAATAACTGATGGGTCATTCATAATAACTGATGGGTCATTCATAATAACTGATGGGTCATTCATAATAACTGATGGGTAATTCATAATAACTGATGGGTCATTCATAATAACTGATGGGTCATTCATAATAACTGATGGGTCATTCATAATAACTGAAGGGCATTCATAACAAACTGATGGGAATTCATAATACTGATGGGTCATTCATAATAACTGATGGGTATCCATAATAACTGATGGGTCAATTCATAATAACTGATGGGTATTCATAATAAAAACTGATGGTGTCATTTCATAATAACTGATGGGGTCATTCATAATAACTGATGGGTCATTCATAATAACTGATGGGTCATTCATAATAACTGATGGGTCATTCATAATAACTGAGGGTCATTCATAATTGTCCTTACTTGTCATCTGTAGTTTTCTTCAGAGCTCCTCCTCTCAGATTACACAGACAACACTCCTGAGAAAGAGAGAGAGGAGAGAGAGAGAGAAAGAGGGAGGTTACATCCATCCGTCCATCCATCCTTCCATCCATCCATCCATCCATCCATCCATCCACCATCCATCCTTTCATTCATCTTTTATAAATCATAAATAAAAATGTTCATAGTTATAATAGACTAATCAAATCAACAACATCTATTAAAGTGATAAGAAACAAATCTGATTGGCTACTTACAGCCGTGAAGGTTCCGTCCGCACAGCGATCACATGACCAGTCCTTGCTGACATCAGCAGCAGTGACGCCATAGCAACCTAGCGGTGACGGTACAGGAAGAAGCATGAAAACACAGAATTGAACCACACAACATCCCATCACAACAGATCCTATATCATCTAATATAGGCTACATGGGGAAGGCCACATGGTCAATCAGAGGAAATAGCCACAGCTAAAACACATGAATAGACTAAGATTGTTTTATCTTGGAAGGCAGAAGATTTTCAACATTTTAGAAGAATGTTTGTGCACCACTGCCAGAAAGAGAACGTTCCATATCCACTAGAAAACAGACAGAACGTTCCATATCCACTACAAAACAGACAGAACGTTCCATATCCACTACAAAACAGACAGAACGTTCCATATCCACTAGCAAAACAGACAGAACGTTCCATATCCACTAGAAAACAGACAGAACGTTCCATATCCACTAGAAAACAGACAGAACGTTTCATATCCACTAGAAAACAGACAGAACGTTCCATATCCACTAGAAAACAGACAGAACGTTCCATATCCACTAGAAAACAGACAGAACGTTCCATATCCACTAGAAAACAGACAGAACGTTCCATATCCACTAGAAACAGAAAACAGACAAACGTCCATATCCACTAGAAAACAGACAGAACGTTCCATATCCACTAGAAAACAGACAGAACATTCCATATCCACTAGAAAACAGACAGAACGTTCCATATCCACTAGAAAACAGACAGAACGTTCCATATCCACTAGAAAACAGACAGAACGTTCCATATCCACTACAAAACAGACAGAACGTTCCATATCCACTAGAAAACAGACAGAACGTTCCATATCCACTAGAAAACAGACAGAACGTTCCATATCCACTACAAAACAGACAGAACGTTCCATATCCACTAGAAAACAGACAGAACGTTCCATATCCACTAGAAAACAGACAGGGTGTGTAACAGTGTAACGTTCTGGCACACAGACACACTAGGAGAAATCACACACATACAGTTAGTGAAACCACATTTTCCATCTCTATTGTAGCTCCCAGTCATGCTGAAAGAGTGGTTGATAGCATGCAGAGGAGAGGTGGCATGTGTATAGAGATATCTAAGCCCGGTCCCTACCACTCCATCTATCTACAGTAATGACAGGAGTGTGTTAGCATGACACGATGGATCAGCATCACTCACTAACTGGCTATGCTAAATCAGCCTGTGGTACTGACGGTACGGGGACAGGACACTGGCGGTACGGGGACAGGACACTGACGGTACGGGGACAGGACACTGACGGTACGGGGACAGGACACTGATGGTACGGGGACAGGACACTGACGGTATGGGGACAGGACACTGACGGTACGGGGACAGGACACTGACGGTACGGGGACAGGACACTGACGGTATGGGGACAGGACACTGACGGTACGGGGACAGGACACTGACGGTACGGGGACAGGACACTGACGGTACGGGGACAGGACACTGGCGGTACGGGGACAGGACACTGACGGTACGGGGACAGGACACTGACGGTATGGGGACAGGACACTGACGGTATGGGGACAGGACACTGATGGTACGGGGACAGGACACTGACGGTACGGGGACAGGACACTGACGGTACGGGGACAGGACACTGACGGTATGGAGACAGGACACTGGCGGTACGGGGACAGGACACTGACGGTACGGGGACAGGACACTGACGGTACGGGGACAGGACACTGACGGTACGGGGACAGGACACTGAGGGTACGGGGACAGGACACTGACGGTATGGGGACAGGACACTGGCGGTACGGGGACAGGACACTGACGGTACGGGGACAGGACACTGACGGTACGGGGACAGGACACCGACGGTACGGGGACAGGACACTGACGGTACGGGGACAGGACATGAAAGTGTGTGTGTGTTTTCCCTTCTCCAAATCATCTGCTATTCATCATCAAACCAAAACAGACAGTTAGACTCCTTTCAAATGTTCAAATAACAGACAGGAAGACACATTATACCATATTTATCCTGTGGCTCTGTCTCTGTGTGGGTCTCTCTGTGTGTGTGTGGTGTGTGTGTGTGTGTGTGTGTGTGTGTGTGTGTGTGTGTGGTATTGGCAAGGACAGTTGTACAGGATGTGTGTAGTAAGACGAGAAGATTCACCCTCAGCTGACGAGAGAAACACAACTAATGAGAGAGAGAGAGAGAGAGAAAGAGAGAAAGCGAGAGAGAGAGAGAGAGGGAGAAAGAGAGCAAGAGAGAGAGAGAGAGAGAGAGCGAGGGAGAAAGAGAGCGAGAACTAACCACAACCTCTCAGAGAGACACACACACACAGGCTTTGTACTCAGTGAACTTTTTCCACCAGAGTTGGGAACATGAAGCACGCAACCTTCCCTCCACACCCCTCTCTCCCTCCCTACTCACTAGCATGGACCTGTAGACAGCATCCCTGACAGGTGAGCAGTGGGCTGGTGCCATCCTCCTGCAGCAGGGCGTTGATGGGGGTCGGGGGACACGTCTGCTCCCTGTAGCTGAAACACATCTCTGGCAGCAGGGGCTTGCTCCTCCTCAGAGCCCCTGCTCCTCCTCTGGGGGAGGGGGGGGAGGATGGAGGGAGAGGGGAGGAGGGGACGGGCTTGAGGTCGTCAGCTCTGTCCTCAGGCTGGGGGGAGGGGGGGGGGGAGAAGAGGAAGAGATTAGAAGGAGAGTTTCAGATAGTAATGTGTCTCTGCGCTTGAGGGTTGATGACAGTCGCGTGGCTGTCGATGGTTGTAGGAGTAGACTCAAAAACGGTTGGTGAAACTAGTCGCCTTCTACACTGTCTGTGTACCTGGTAGTAGGGCATGAACAGTGTGCAGACAGCACAGTGGGGCAACATCGTTGCTGCGTTGGCGTTGTACTCTCTCTCCGCCGTGAAGTAACACTTCCTGTTCTGCCACAAGAAGAGGAGGGGCTTAGCCCATGGCTCAGCCTCCTGCTCCTCCGTCAAACACGCCTCCGGGGGTTCTGGGTAAAGAATAAAACAGACTGATCTGGGACTGAGTTAAAGAAACTTGACTGTTGAACTAGACTAACAGGAAACTTGATGCTGATGCTTTTAGTAACAGTTTACATTTTTTGTCATTTAGCAGACGCTCTTATCCAGAGAGACTTACAGGAGCAATTAGGGTTAGTTGCCTTGCTCAAGGACATATTTTTCACCTAGTCGGCTGGGGGATTCAAACCAGCGACCTTTGGGTTACTGGCCCAACGCTCTTAACCGCTAGGCTACCTGCCGCCCCTGTTAACTGTTGTTTACTGTTGTGGGTCCTACTAATGATCCAAAACAACCTCAACTCCAACTACTGTAGTCACTGTATCACAACCAAAACAGCCATCACTGGAGTTTTGGGTCGTTTGTGGTAGTCATTTTGGGTCGTTTGTGGTAGTCATTCTGGGTCGTTTGTGGTAGTCATTCTGGGTCGTTTGTGGTAGTCATTCTGGGTCGTTTGTGGTAGTCATTCTGGGTCGTTTGTGGTAGTCATTCTGGGTCGTTTGTGGTAGTCATTCTGGGTCGTTTGTGGTAGTCATTCTGGGTTGTTTGTGGTAGTCATTCTGGGTCGTTTGTGGTAGTCATTCTGGGTCGTTTGTTGTAGCCGTTTTGGGTAGTTTATGGTAGTTAGTAGTAGTAGCGGTTTTGGTAGTTTGAGGACGTTTTGGGTAGTTCAGGGGTTGTTTTGGGTAGCTGTTTTGAGTAGTTTAAGGTAGCTATTTTGAGTCGTTTTTGGCAGCTGTTTTGGGTAGTTTGAGTTAGCTGAAATTATTTGACTAAATGTTGTTTGTTTTATTCGTGCCCATAGTCATTGTATGTAATCATTACAGTTTATCACGTTTGTATGGGACTTCAGGCAGTCTTTGAAAATAAGAATTTGTCTTTAACGGACTTGCCTGGTTAAATAATAATAATATAATATAATATGCCATTTAGCAGACGCTTTTATCCAAAGCGACTTACAGTCATGTGTGCATACATTTTTACGTATGGGTGGTCCCGGGGATCGAACCCACTACCCTGGCGTTACAAGCGCCTTGGACATTTTCAATGGAATAACAGGGAATGTTTTGTTTTAATATTATAGGTTGGGTTTGGTTTGTTTGGGGCGGCTTAATATTGTAATCTGATTTATGTATGATGCTTACTCTATATAATAACCTATTTCAAAAACCGTATATGTCCAATAAAAATATTTAAAAACATTGTCAACGGACACAGTCAATAAAATGTTTGTTTTTCTTATCATTCTGAGGCTAAGCTCAACGGTAAACCTACCATCATCTCAAACTGTGTGTGTACGTTCATGTCTGTGTGTGTGTTCTGTGTGTGTCTGTGTGTACGTTGTGTGTGTGTGTGTGTGTGTGTGTGGTACGTCACGCTGACACCTGTTGCGCAGGGGGTGTGAGTGGGTTTGGGTGTGCTTTCAGTGTCTTGTTGGGGTGTGGTGGTTCAATGTCTTGTGTGTGTGTGTGTGTGGAGCTGTGGTTGGGTAGCAGGGTGTGTGGGTTCAGCTGGGGTTGGTGTCAGTGTGGTATTCTGCGTGATGTGTGTGTGTTGTGCTACCGTAATTGACAGGTCCTGTGCACAAGCGGGCAGGGCCTGCAGTAGGGTTCCAGAGGGTGACGCCATGCACTTTGACTGGTCTCACCTAGTGCAGCAATGGTACTAGGACAAGGACAGGTCAGGCCCTAAATGAACTAGGGTTCCATAGTGCACTAATATTGACTAGGGTCCATCGTGCCACGAAAGTGCTAGGGTAAAGTGCATAAATTGACTATGGGTTCCATAGTGCACTAAATTGCTAGGGTCCATAGTGCAAAAATTGAAGGGTCCATAGTGCACCTAAATTGAGGGCTAGGATCCATAGTGCTCGAAAATTGCTAGGGTCCATAGTGCACGAAATTGACTAGGGTCCATAGGCACTAAAATTGACTAGGGTCCATAGTGCACTAAATTGACTAGGGTCCATAGCGCACTAAATTGACTAGGGTCCATAGTGCACTAAATTGACTAGGGTCCATAGTGCACTAAATTGACTAGGGTCCATAGTGCACTAAATTGACTAGGGTCCATAGTGCACTAAATTGACTAGGGTCAATAGTGCACTAAATTGACTAGGATCCATAGTGCACTAAATTGACTAGGGTCCATAGTGCACTAAACTGACTAAGGTCCATAGTGCACTAAATTGACTAGGGTCCATAGTGCACTAAATTGACTAGGATCCATAGTGCACTAAATTGACTAGGGTCCATAGTGCACTAAATTGACTAGGGTCCATAGTGCTGTTTTGACAGGGGCCCATAAGGTTCTGGTCAAAAATCAGTCTTTGTTTAAAGAACATGGTTTTTGAAAAGACAATCAAAAGGGATTGGAATAGGTGTGTGTGTATGTGTGTTATCGTATGTGTGTGTGTGTGTGTGTGTGTTATTGTATGTGTGTTATCGTATGTGTGTGTGTGTGTGTTATCGTGTGTGTGTGTGTGTGTGCGTTATCGTGTGTGTCTCAGCAGCCATACGCACAGTGCAAACCTCTCCAGGTTCCAGCCCCGAGTCCCCACACTCAAAGTCGCTCAAATCATTATCATCGTCTTCCTCCCCTTCTTCCTCCTCTTCCTCTGCCTCTCCTTCCGACGACTCACTACTACTCTCCTCCCTCGTGCTGCTCTGCCCCTCTTCCTCCGAATCCCCCTCTTCCATTTCTGACACCCCCTCCTCCTCTCCTTCCACAAGTCTCTCCTCCAAGGGCGATTCAGGAGGGTCTGGTTCTAGACCCCCCTCGGCCTCCCTCTCCACCCCCAGTTCCCTGCACAGAGCCAGGGCTTCCGCTGCCTCCACCTCCCCTCTCTGGAGCTCAAAGTCTCCACAGAGACCCAGGGGCTCCCCGACACCGGCCGAACCCAGAGAGGTGGACTCCAGCTGGGCCCAGGTGAGAGGCCCATCCCCCTGTCCCTCTAGGTCCTGGTCGTCCGTCTCAGTGTCGTGATCGAGGTCTGTGACCTCTTTGCACTGCGGCTCAGTCCACATGGTGTAGGGCAGTGCATCGTGGGTATAATCAGCGGGGAGCTCCGGGTGGTGGAGGCTCTCGATGAGCACCGCAGGACTCTGGGAGTTGAGGTTCTTCCAGATGCCGTCTGAGAAAGGTTTGGGCTCCAGGTAGAGGCTTTGGGAGCTACAAACAGAGTCCATGTTTAGAGAACTACAAATGGAATCCACGTTTTGGGAACTACAAATGGATTCCATGTTTCTGGAACCAGAAATAGAATCCACGTTTCGTGAACTACAAATGGATTCCACGTTTCGTGAACTACAAATGGATTCCACGTTACGTGAACTACAAATGGATTCCACGTTTCGTGAACTACAAATGGATTCCACGTTTCGTGAACTACAAACGGCATCCATGTTGGAGTGTGGAGTTTCGTTGTTGTTGTTTTGGTGTTGTAGTGTTGCTGAATGTTCATTTAAAACACTCAGCTCAGAAGAGTGGGCCAACGTATTGTTAGAAGTCAAACTGGTGCTAGCTAGATATATACCCGTAGCACTGGAGTCTCTAAATACTTTGTCTCTTTGAGATGATCCTTCCGAGTTGGAATCCATGGATACTGCTGCTGTTGCAGTTGCCTTCGAGGACCTGTGTTTCTGGATTTGCTGCGTTTGCAGTAGCGTAACGTCACAGAGCATGTGGTTGCTAGCATGGGTCTCCGCTGAGGTTCGGCTACAGTGGTTCTCGATGGTCAGCACTGCCTCAGACAACGTCTGGATTGGCAGTGCTTCTAGATAGGAAGCGGCGGTGGTCATTTTGCGCAGAGGGGCGTCCATTTTGGGTTGAGCGTCGCTAGCTGCATTAGCCGCGTAAGCCGCTAACTGTAACTCCAGCTCTGGTCTACGGTGGTGGTCTTCGGTAGGACCGGAGTGCCGAGAGGGTGCCATTTTGTGCTCAGAGGCGGCCATTTTGGGCCGAGCGTCGCTAGATGCATTAGCCACGTAAGCCGCTAACTGTAAATCCAGCTCTGGTCTATGGTGGTGGTCTTCAGTAGAACCTAAGCACCAGTCGCTGTAAAGTGCCAACGGTCTAAAATCCTCTTCCTTCGACTTCTTTGACGCCAACTCCCCCTCGCACACCTCGTCCGTTAACGTTTCTGTTTCTGACGAGAGGGTCGTGGGCGTCTCGCGTTGGAGCACTGGAGCGAGGACCGGGCGACTGTCCGGTAAATCCGGTAACGTTAGAGAACCACCATGTCGGGCAGTCGAGGAGGACGACCTCGGACCTTTGACCTGGACGTGACCTCCGCTGATGGCGAGGGTGAGGGAGGGCATCTCCTGGGTGAGAACGGGGGGAAGTGGGGGACAGAGCCTCACCTCTCCAGACAGTTCGGGGGTGAGGAGGGGCATGTCTACCCTGCCGTTCCTCTGGAGGAGAGGAGGGGAACAGTTTTCAACGGGGGTGCAGTTTTGGGTACTACACCTTGGAAATGGGGGAGAGGTGTCAACGGGGGAACAGTTTTGTAAACTACACCTTGGAGGGGAAGGGTTTTGTACGGGGGCACAGTTCTGTTCACTACACCTGAACAAGTTAGATGGACCAGAGCTGGAGCTAACACATCCTTTGGGCACAGAGTCAGTATTAGTGTAAATGCCATTATAAAGTGCAGGCGTTCTGCTTCCAGAGTTGTGACTGCTGTGCGTCGTAGTGGTAGCTGTGGAGTTGTTAGTATCCACCGCAGTACCTTGACATGTATCCATTTTATACTCCGTGCTCGGGGTTCGGATCGGGGCTAGAGACGACTTCTCTACGTAAGAAGAGCTTGCTTGAAAAGCTCCAGGGCCACAGGCTGAGTCCGTACACCCCTGAGCCCCAGTCGGGCGCACCGTTCCGGGGGAAGGGAATCGGGTCCGTAGGGAGTCTGGAGAGGGGTGGACATCCATAGAGCAGTCCCGAGGGGCCAGTCCCAGTGGAGTAGATTCTATGCATACTGACATAAAGGGTCCTCCTGGGGTTTGTGTTCTTTCTGATCGGGCAGGTGTAGGGGCAGCCTCGGACCTCTGATGGGGTCCTTTAATGACCTCTGTGAACTCTGACCCTGAGGGGTCCTGTGGGGGGTTAGTGGGATGCAGATGGGGTGAGGGGTGAGTCCCTACCCCTGTCCCTTGTTCTGTGGTGTCCATTGAGGCAGGGGAGGGAGAGGGATCAGGGGTGAGAGAGGGAGAGGGGAGAGAAGAGAAGTCGGGGGTGAGAGGGGGAGAAGGGCTAGATGAGGGGCGTAGAGGTTCAGGAGGACAGGGGAAGGCCAACCGGTCACTCTCCACTTCCATTCTGTTGACTTTCACCACACACATCTGCCGGCAAGGACCTGTGGAACAGAGACAACAACAAACAATAGTTAAGAGAGTGTGTGGAAAATCCACTCTTAGATAAAACTTTGAGATAGTCAAAAAAAACTAAAAACAACATTTGAATGATAAAATAATCGGTCTACAAGGGCCCGTATCCAGAAGATATTACAGAAGAAAAAGGCTTTGGTCCATTTGTCTCTAGTCTCTTACTCATAGAATTAGGAATTACACAATACTAGAATGGACATGAACCTGGATAAAGGTAAAGGTCAGCCATTTTGGTCAGGGAGTTGGTCAACCATGGTTAGCCAGTGCTGTAATAAGACATGGTGTAGAATAATGCATTTGAAGACTGTTCCTGCACTGTATGTTTGTTAGCTAGCTAGCCAGACAATTTATTTATACAATATTTTAGGTTGACATGAATTCTATTGCACAATTTCTGATATCTCATGCCTTAGTTTTATTTTCCGGCATAAGTATCAGAATTGTGCCTCTACTGCCATCCATTCCAATTAGACTGGTTTGGATTTCTCCCTGACCAATATGGCTGCCATTTTCACCCCATTCTGGAACATTGAGGGTTTATGACATAGCCCTTCTACTAATTTAATAGGAGCTCTATGCTCTTTCCACCAATCAATCAATAGATAAATCATTCAGAATCAATCAATCAACTAATCTCTTACCAGGTAGCCGGAGTGTATTCTCAGTCTGATCCTCTCCCTCTCCTTCTTCCTCTTCCTCCTCCTCCTCCTCCTCCTCTACCACGGCCCTGCAGCCTCTCCGGATCTTGGGAGCCAGGGTGCCCCCCAGGCCTCTCCTCCTACCCAGGACAGAGCACCCTTCCAGGGCTACAGGCTCCTCGCTGGTCCTCAGGCGCTTGGATCTGGTCTGTGGGTGTGGGAGGCTGCTGTAAGGGGGCCAAATGGAGAAACGTTCGCATCTCTTTGACATGCCACTTTTTTTTCCATAACAATTCTAAAAATCTGCAACATTTTACATTTACATTTAGTCATTTAGCAGACGCTCTTATCCAAAACGACTTACAGGAGCAATTAGGGTTAAGTGCCTTGCTCAAGGGCACATTAACGTCATTTAGCAGACGCCTTTAGCCAGAGCGACTCACAAATTGGTGCGTTCAACCCTATATCCAGTGGGATAACCACTTTACAATTTTGGGGGGGGGGGGGGGGGGGGGGTGGGGGGGGGGGGGGGGGGGGGGGGGGGGGTTAGAAGGAATACTTTATCCTTCCCGTGTATTCCTTAAAGAGTGGGGTTTCAAATGTCCTCCGGAAGGTGGTGGAGTGACTCCGCTGTCCTGGGCGTCGTTAGGGAGCGTGTTCCACCATTGGGGTGCCAGAGCAGCGAACATTTTGACTGGCGCAGCGGGAGCTATGCTTCCGCAGAGGAAGGGGACCAGCAGGCCAGAGGTGGATGAACGCAATGCCCTCGTTTGGGTTAGGGACTGATCAGAGCCTGAAGGTACAGAGGTGCCGTTCCCCTCACTGCTCCATAGCAAGCACCATGGTCTTGTAGCGGATGCGAGCTTCAACTGGAAGCCAGTGAGTGTGTGGAGGAGGGGGGTGACGTGAGAGAGCTTGGGAAGGTTGCACCAGACGGCTGCCGGCATTCTGGATGAGTTGTGGGTTTAATGCAGTCCAGCAAGACACATTCGTATGTTCACACCTCCCACACCCCTCCCCACACCCCCCTCCTCCCTCCCACACCCCCCCTCCTCCCACACCTCTCCTCCACCCTCCCCACCCTCCCCCCACCCCACCCCCCTCCCCACCCCCCCCCTCCTCCCTCCCCACCCTCCTCCCTCCCAAAGCCCCCTCCTCCCCTTCCACACCCCTCCTCCACACCCCTCCCCCTCCCACGCCCCTCCCCCCTCCCCACCCCCTCCTCCCTCCCACACCCCCTCCCTCACCCCTCCTCCCTCCCACACCCCTCCCACCCCCCCACACCCCTCCTCCCTCCCCCACCCTCCCTCCCACACCCCTCCTCCCTCCCACCCACCCCTCCTCCCTCCCCTCCCCCAGTCTCCCCCCACCCTCTCCTCCCTTCCACACCCCTCCTCCGCTACCCTCCCACCCCTCCTCCCCACCCCTCCCTCCCCCTCGCCCTCCCTCCCCGACACCTCCACCTCCCCACCCCCTCTCCTCTCCACCACCCCCTCCCACACCTCCACTCCCCACACCCCTCTCCCTCCCACACCCCTCCCTCCTCCCACACCCTCCTCCCTCCCACACCCCTCCTCCCCTCCCACCACCCTCCCCCCCCCTCCACCCCTCCCACACCCCCCCCCTCTCCCACCCCTCCTCCCCCACACCCCTCCTCCCCTCCACCACCCCCCCTCCTCCCTCCCACACCCCCCCTCCCCACCCCTCCCCACCCCTCCTCCCCCCCCCCTCCCCCCCCCTCCTCCCTCCACACCCTCCTCCCTCCCACACCCCTCCTCCCTCCCACACCCCTCCTCCCTCCCACACCCCCCCAACCTCTCCTCATCTTGCACCCGCTGCGCTCCAGTTCCTCCACTCCAGGGCTGGTCCCGCGTGGCTCGGTGTGTCCAGGACCGGAAGCTCTTTCCCCAGCTTCCATACGGCATAGCGGTCCGGTTGGAACCACTTCACGAAGGGATCCATACTGATTTTCACCATGTCTTTACTGCATGTACACTAGGGTGGAGGGGAGAGGGGAGTTAGCATACTATTTAGTGTACAGTACCCATACTACACCATGTCCTTACTGCACTAGGGAGGAGGGGAGAAGGGAGGTTAGGAGGGGTCCTATAAACCACACTGTTAATGTCCTTACTGCACAAAATAATGTATGCACTCACTAACTGTAAGTCGCTCTGGATAAGAGCGTCTGCTAAATGACTAAAATGTAAAATGTAAAAAAAAAAAGTGCACTACAGAGGGGAGGAAGTGTTCGGCTGTGTCCTAATATGGACACTAGTTTACTATTAAGTGTGTGCAGGTGAAGTAGAATTGCTAGCTTGTTAGCGGTGCAGCTAGTAGCTTCCGTTGTGCAAGCGACGTCACCCACCCCTGAGACCCAGAAGTACTCCTTCCCCACCCCCCCAGAGGTACTGACCATAGTTCTGGAGGGGTCCCTGGTTCCAGGCCAAGGTGGTACTCCTTCCCCCCCCCCCCCCCAGAGGTACTGACCATAGTTCTGGAGGGGTCCCTGGTTCCAGGCCAAGGTGGTACTCCTTCCCCCACCCCCCAGAGGTACTGACCATAGTTCTGGAGGGGTCCCTGGTTCCAGGCCAAGGTGGTACTCCTTCCCCACCCCCCCCCCAGAGGTACTGACCATAGTTCTGGAGGGGTCCCTGGTTCCAGGCCAAGGTGGTACTCCTTCCCCCCCCCCCCCCCAGAGGTCCTGACCATAGTTTCTGGAGGGGTCCCTGGTTCCAGCCAAGGTGGTACTCCTTCCCCACCCCCCAGAGGTACTGACCATAGTTCTGAGGGGTCCCTGGTTCCCAGGCCAAGGTGGTACTCCTTCCCCACCCCCCCAGAGGTACTGACCATAGTTCTGGAGGGGGGTCCCTGGTTTCCAGGCCAAGGTGGTACTCCTTCCCCCCCCCCCCCCCCAGAGGTACTGACCATAGTTCTGGAGGGGTCCCTGGTTCCAGGCCAAGGTGGTACTCCTTCCCCCCCCCCCCCCAGAGGTACTGACCATAGTTCTGGAGGGGTCCCTGGTTCCAGGCCAAGGTGGTACTCCTTCCCCCCCCCCCCCCCAGAGGTACTGACCATAGTTCTGGAGGGGTCCCTGTTCCAGGCCAAGGTGGTACTCCTTCCCCACCCCCCCCCAGAGGTACTGACCATAGTTTCTGGAGGGGTCCCCTGGTTCCAGGCCAAGTGGTACTCCTCCCCCCCCCCCCCCCAGAGGTACTGACCATAGTTCTGGAGGGGTCCCTGGTTCCAGGCCAAGGTGGTACTCCTCCCCCCCCCCCCCCAGAGGTACTGACCATAGTTTCTGGAGGGGGTCCCTGGTTCCAGGCCAAGGTGGTACTCCTTCCCCCCCCCCCCCCAGAGGTACTGACCATAGTTCTGGAGGGGTCCCTGGTTCCAGGCCAAGGTGGTACTCCTCCCCCCCCCCCCAGAGGTACTGACCATAGTTCTGGAGGGGTCCCTGGTTCCAGGCCAAGGTGGTACTCCTCCCCCCCCCCCCCCCCCCAGAGGTACTGACCATAGTTCTGGAGGTCCGGTTCCAGCCAGGTGTACTCTTCCCCACCCCCAAGGTACGACCATATTGAGGGTCTCCTGTTCCAGCCATGGTACTCCCCCCCCCCCCAGAGGTACTGACCATAGTTCTGGAGGGGTCCCTGGTTCCAGGCCAAGGTGGTACTCCTTCCCCCCCCCCCCCAGAGGTACTGACCATAGTTCTGGAGGGGTCCCTGGTTCCAGGCCAAGGTGGTACTCTTCCCCACCCCAGAGGTAACTGACCTAGTTCTGGAGGGTCCCTGTGTCCAGGCCAAGGTGGTAGTCCTCCCCCCCCACCAGCGAGAGACTGACCATAGTTCTGGAGGGGTCCCTGTTCAAGGCCAGGTGGTACTCCCTTCCCCCCCCCCCCCAGGGTACTGACCAAGTTCGGATGGGCTCCCTGTCCAGGCCAATGAACTCCCCTGCCTCCTGGGTGATCTGGAGAGACGGGGGGAGGAGGGAGTTACTGAGGAGAAAACCACTGGCAAATTTCCTTTAGCAATTCTATCCATTTGTCCCCATTGAGATCCCTTGAAAGAATAGAGAAAACGCCCACATTACTCTTAAAGACAGGATCACTTGTGTTTGTCTAGCTAACGTATCAGCCTGCATCAGATATACACAACCTCTCTCCTAAGACCAGGTCAAGGAGTGAACTGCAACACTACATACAACCAGTCAAGAACTGAAGTGAAGACCTGTTGTAATGTTTGTAAAGACGACTAAAAGTGGGGTTTGTGATCGTGTAGAAGAGTGTGTTCTCTCACTATGGTAACGGTAGCTAAGATGAAATGGTTTAAAAAGTGGCAGTTAGAAACTTGTCAAGTTTTCCTACCTTGTCGAAGGGGATGCTGTACTTCTTCAGGATGGAGGGGGAGATCAGGGTCATCTTGTGACGGAGAAAAGCCTCACACCCTTTAAACCCGTTGTGGAAGAAACCTGAAAACACACACACACACACACAGAACGTGGAGAGACTGTTAGACAGATTGACAGAGTAAACACACTGCTATTGGTACAAGAACTTATATCTATCCTCTTAAGGCCGCGTTTACACAGCCAGCCCAATTATTGGCTAAATAACTATTAAAAATCGGCAAAAGATCAGAATTGGGCTGCCTGCGTAAACGCAGCCTAAGTGTTCTACTTTCAAGTTAAACTTTGACTAGAAATATTACCTGTAGCCAGTCTCTCTAGCCTCTTCCCGTGCTCAGGGGGGATGGCATACCTGGAGACAGAGACAGCGTTTATACTGTTAATATACCTGGAGACAGAGACAGCGTTTATACTGTTAATATACCTGGAGACAGAGACAGCGTTTATACTGTTAATATACCTAACTGATACATATAACCTGAGAGACAGAGACAAGCGTTAACCACTGTTAACTATCACCTTGAGACAGAGACAAGACCGATTTATAACTTTAATAATACCTGGAGACAGAGGGGGACGCAGCGTTTTACTAAGACTTTAATATACCTGGAGACAGAGACACTTTATACTGTTAATATACCTGGAGACAGAGACAAGCGTTTATACTGTTAATATACCTGGAGACAGAGACAGCGTTTATACTGTTAATATACCTGGAGACAGAGACAGCGTTTATACTGTTAATATACCTGGAGACAGAGACAGCGTTTATACTGTTAATATACCTGGAGACAGAGACAGCGTTATACTGTTAATATACCTGGAGACAGAGACAGCGTTTATACTGTTAATATACCTGGAGACAGCGTTTATACTGTTAATATACCTGGAGACAGAGACAGCGTTTATACTGTTAATATACCTGGAGACAGAGACAGCGTTTATACTGTTAATATACCTGGAGACAGAGACAGCGTTTATACTGTTAATATACCTGGAGACAGAGACAAAGCGTTTATACTGTTAATATACCTGGAGACAGAGACAAGCGGTTATACTGTTAATATAACCTGGAGCAGAGACAAAGCGTTTATACTGTTAAATACCTGGAGACAGAGAACAGCGTTTATACTGTTAATATACCTGGAGACGAGACAGCCGTTTATACTGTTAATATACCTGGAGACCGAGACAGCGTTTATACTGTTAATAACCTGGAGACAGCGTTTATATGGTAATATACCTGTATACAGAGACAGCGTTTATACTGTTAATATACCTGGAGACAGAGACAGCGTTTATACTGTTAATATACCTGGAGACAGAGACCAGCGTTATACTGTTAATATGCCTGGAGACAGAGACAGCGTTTATACTGTGTAATATACCTGGAGACAAGACAGCGTTTATACTGTTAATATACCTGGAGACAGAGACAGCGTTTATAACTGTTGAATATACCTGGAGACAAGACAAGCGTTATAACTGTAATATGCCTGGAGACAGAGACAGCGTTTATACTGTTAATATACCTGGAGACAAAGCGTTTATACTGTTAAATATAACCTGGAGACAGAGACAGCGTTTATACTGTTAATATACCTTGAGACATAGACATAGCGTTTATACTGTTTAATATACCTTGAGACAGAGACAGCGTTTATACTGTTAATATACCTGGAGACAGAGACAGCGTTTATACTGTTAATATACCCTGGAGACAGAGACAAGCGTTTATCCTGTTAATATACCTGAGACAGCGTTTATACTGTTAATATACCTGAGACAGAGACAGCGTTTATACTGTTAATATACCTGGAGACAGCGTTTTATACTGTTAATATACCTTGAGACAGAGACAGCGTTTATACTGTTTAATATACCTTGGAAACAGAGACAGCGTTTATACTGTTTAATATACCTGGAGACAGAGACAGCGTTTATACTGTTAATATACCTGGAGACAGAGACAGCGTTTATACTGTTAATATACCTTGAGACAAGACAGCGTTTATACTGTTTAATATACCTGGAGACAGAGACAGCGTTTATACTGTTAATATACCTGGAGACAGAGACAGCGTTTATACTGTTAATATACCTGAGACAGAGACAGCGTTTTATACTGTTAATATACCTGGAGACAGCGTTTATACTGTTAATATACCTTGAGACAGAGACAGCGTTTATACTGTTAATATACCTGAGACAGAGACAGCGTTTATACTGTTAATATACCTTGAGACAGAGACAGCGTTTATACTGTTAATATACCTGGAGACAGAGACAGCGTTTATACTGTTAATATACCTGGAGACAGAGACAGCGTTTATACTGTTAATATACCTGGAGGGACCCAAGAAGGGACAGCGTTTATACTGTTAATATACCTGAGACAGAGACAGCGTTTATACTGTTAATATACCTGAGACAGAGACAGCGTTTATACTGTTAATATACCTGGAGACAGAGACAGCGTTATACTGTTAATATACCTGGAGACAGAGACAGCGTTTATACTGTTAATATACCTGGAGACAGAGACACAGCGTTTATACTGTTAATATACCTGGAGACAGAGACAGCGTTTATACTGTTAATATACCTGGAGACAGAGACAGCGTTTATACTGTTAATATACCTGGAGACAGAGACAGCGTTTATACTGTTAATATACCTGGAGACAGAGACAGCGTTTATACTGTTAATATACCTGGAGACAGAGACAGGTTATAGTAATGGCGAGACGGTTATTTAATATACCTGGAGACGAGGACAGCGTTTATACTGTTAATATACCTGGAGACAGAGACAATGTTTGTCAGGTTAATACATAATGTAAATACTAAACTAGCCTTATGGGTAAGTCTTATGTAGAGGGAGACAAACTGTTCAGATGTTCCATCATTTACAGTGACAATACTGCCACCTAGTGGCGAGCCTTGGAATTACAACTATTCCAAAGTTCCTGCCATAGAACCAGGAGAAGTCTTTAGAATTCCCTCAGGGTTCCTAGGCATTCCATTTCACTCCCACCTCTCCCCCCCTCTACCATCAGAAGACCATACTATCTGCCACATATTCACCTGTCAGTCTGAGATAAGGGTGTGTGGGTGTGTGTCTGCCAGATCAAGTAAAGGGGAGAGATGAGGACTGCCCCAGGAGTGGCAGAGGTGAGGAGGGGTTGAGAGAAGAGCTTCTCTGTGCTGCTAGCCTCCAGGGAAAGACTGTCAAAATGGGGAGAACTGTGTGGTGTGTGTGTGTGTTGCAGGGCTTCCTGCTCTAATGAGCAGCAGTATACCTCCAGGGGAAGAGAGAGATGGGCAGACTAAGAAAAGGAGAGAGGGAGGAGGAAAGAGGGAGTGAGACAAGCTGACGAGGGAGAAATAAAGGAGTCATTCCTCCCTGCCTCCCTTTCCTCCCATCTCTCCCTCCCTTTCCTCCCATCTCTCCCTCCAACCCTGCCTCCCTTTCCTCCCATCTCTCCCTCCAACACTGCCTCCTTTCCACCACTCCCTTCCACCCATCTCCTCCCTCCACCCTGCCTCACTTTCCTCCTCATCTCCCCCAACCCCCCTCCCTTTCCACCCATCTCTCCCTCCAACCCTGCCTCCCTTTCCTCCCATCTCTCCCTCCAACACTGCCTCCCTTTCCTCCCATCTCTCCCTCCAACACTGCCACCCTTTCCTCCCATCTCTCCCTCCAACCCTGCCTCCCTCCAACCCATCTCTCCCTCCAACGCTCCCTCCAACGCTCGCTCCTTCCTCCACCTCCTCCAAACATGCCTCCATCCTCTCCCTCACAACACTGCCACCTTTCCTCCATTCCCCTAAAAACGTCCCTTTTCCATTCTCCTTTCAAAATCTCTCCCCCCAACCCCTTTCCCTCCAAAGCTCCCCCAAAAGCGCTTTTTCCCCTTCCCCTCCAAAGGGAGTCCCCCTTTTTCCCCCCCCCTTTTCAAAAAAAACCTTTAACCCCCCTTCTTCCCCCCTTCTCCAATTCCCCCCAAATGCCCCCCCTTTACCCTTTCCCTCAAAACCCCGTCCCTTTCTCCCATTTTCCCCCCCAACATGCCTCCCCTTTCCCACTCTCCCCCTTTTCCCATCTTCCCTCCCAAGTACCCCTTTCCACCCCTCCTCCCTCAAAAGTACCTCCCTTTTCCCATTTTCCCCCAAAGTACCTCCCTTTCCCCCCCAT